ACAAGTGGAAATTATTTGGGTTTACTTGAACTTATTGCTCAGTTTGATCCATTTTTATCAGGTCACATGTCAAAATATGGTAACACAGGAAAGGGCAACCCATCGTATATGTCTGAAACAAAGTGTGAAGAATTAATAAACTTAATAAGTGATGAAGTTCAATCAACTATTTTTGTGAAATAAGTATAGCTTGATATTTCAGTTTGTCTGTAGATTCCACTCCTGACCTTTCTCACAAAGGTCAGATAAATATTGTCTTAAGATTCGTATCTCCAACAGATGGAAAATCTGTTGAGCGATTCATCACACATACTAGCTTTAAAAGTCATACTGCTGGAGAAATTGCAAATCAGGTACTTTACTATTTATGTGAAGTTTGCAAAATTGATTTTTCTAAGTACAGAGGCCTGTCCTATAACAAAGCTGCCAATATATCAGGTGCCATGAAGGCATGAAACAGAAAATTTTAGAATGTAATGAATATGCCATTTTCATACCATGTGCTGTGCATTAACTTAATCTTGTAGGACATAGCAAAGTAGATTGTTGTCCGGAAGCAGCTGATTTTATTTTTTTAATGTTCAGTTACTCTACACATTTTTTGCTGCCCCTATTCACCAATAGGCAGTTCTTAAAACATATTTAGGCAATGATAGAATATTAATATGTCCATTCAATACGTGTTGGGAAGTGCATGCTGTAGCAATGAGTGCAATCCTGGAATCCTACACTCAAATTCTAACACCTTAGAAAATATTGCTGAAGACCAGAAACAAAAGGAGATACCAAAAGAGAAGCAGAAAACATTGCCAACAAAATGTAAATACTAGTGTATGTACTTACGTCGGTTATGTGGAATAATATATTGCTACATTTCATCAGACAAGTCAAGCTCTCCAAGATTCAGAGGTCAACTTAAAAACATGCGGAGATTTTTACCAGTCATAACAGAGTATTTACATACTTTAAGAGAAGATTTTGAAAATTTCGAAAGCACAACCAAATACTGCCAAATACTGATAATCAAGCCATTTACTGTCGCATAACCATTAGAAAGAAACAAGTATGCCAGAAGTATTGAGTTCCAGAGATAAATTTCTTGTAACCATATACTACACCATCGACACACTTGAATCTTGTATGAAAAGGGTGAAAGTGTATGAAGCTCTTTCAAATAGATTCTCCTTCTTAAACAATGTGGATATACCTGATGAATGCATGAAGGCATCCAAGAAATTATTGCAGGTTTATTCCAATGACGGAGCCTGGTAGTGAAGTGGTAATGAACTTGACTGCTAACCAAAAGGTCAGCAGTTCAAATCCAGCAGCCACTCCTTGGAAACCCTATGGGGCATTCTACTCTGTCCTATAGGGTCACTATGAGTTCGAATCGACTCTATGGCAACAAGTATAGTATGGTTTATCCCGATAACTTACATACAAACCTTTATGGAGACATGTGACAATTTCATTCTAACATGAGAACTAAGTTTACAGATTCAGGAGAGACAAATTTCACTCATGTACACGTGTATGATTCCATAATAGAAGATAAAATACAATGTATATTTCCCAACATTGAAATTTCTTTATGCATATTCCTAATTTTAATGATCACAAACTGCTCAACCGAACACTCATTTTCATTCCTAAAGAGACTCAAAAACCCTCAGCATACAAGGATTCAAGAAAGACTCGATTCACTATCCTTCTCACATATGGAAGCAGATATTGTTTGAGATCTTAATTGTGACAAAATCATTGAGTAATTTGTAAGAGCAATGAATAGAAAGAAATGTTTTTAATTATAACACGTGATAGATGAAAGATTTATCTAAAAATATAGTGATTTGTTGTAATATTTGTCTTCTGATCATTAAATTTTCTTTTATGACATCTTTTCATAGTTTATTTATAATTATAGCATTTATTACAAAGCAAGCATCAAAACTGAAGTATGAGCTGTTTAAAGCAAATTTATTGAAAGTCAATTTTTCGTTGTGGGAGATAATAGAATTTTACATTGACTGTTGAAAGAACTAAGTTCACTGACTCATTTTCTTTATTGTAGAATATATGGAATATTCCTTTTGTAGAAAATGTGGTATATATTAAAAATCTTAGTACCCCATATCTACTAAAAATTTTATAATCTAGTTCACCTCATTCTGCTAAAGTGGCATACACCACTTTTGTGTTCAATTTCTAATATTACAGTCACATTTAAAAAGAAGTTACAACTGGGAGCTCCTAAAAATCAAACACTTGTGCTAATCAAAAGACTTCACCAAAAGAGTCAAAAGACAACCTACAGACTGGGGAAAAATTTTTGGCTACGACAAATCCGATCAGCGTCTAATCTCTAAAATCTACAAGATACTGCAAAACCTCAACAACAAAAAGACAAATAACCCAATTAAAAAATGTGCAAAGGATATGAACAGACACTTCGCCAAAGAAGACATTCAGGCAGCTAACAGACACATGAAGAAATGCACACAGTCATTAGCTATTAGAGAAATGCAAATCAAAACTACAATGAGATACCATCTTGCCCCGACGAGGCTGGCATTAATCCAAAAAAACACAAAATAATAAATGCTGGAGAGGTTGTGGAGAGACTGGAACACTTATACACTGTTGGTAGGAATGTAAAATGGTACAACCACTTTGGAAATCGATTTGGCACCTCCTTAAAAAGCTAGAAACAGAAGTACTGCACGATCCAGCAATCCCACTCCTTGGAATATATCCTAGAGAAATAAGAGCCGCCACATGAATAGATCTATGCATACCTATGTTCATTGCAGCACTGTTCACGATGGCAAAAAGACAGAAACAACCTAGATGCCCATCAATGGATGAATGGATAAGCAAATTATTGTATATTCACACAATGGAATACTACACAACAATAAAGAACAACACTGAAGCCATGAAACATAACATGGAGGAATCTGGAGGGCACTATGCTGAGTGAATTTAGTCAGTCACAGCAGGACAAATATTGTATAAGACCACTATTATAAGAACTCAAGAAAAGGTTTAAACACAGAAGAAAACATTCTTTGATGGTTACGAGGGTGGGGAGGGAGGGTGACGGTTATTCACTAACTAGATAGTAGACAAGTATTATCTTAAGTGAAGGGGAGGGCAGCACACACTACAGAGGAAGTCAGCACAACGGGACTAAACCAAAGCTAAGCAGTTTCCTGAATACAATCAAACACTTTGAGGGCCAGAGTAGCAGGGGTGGGGGTCTGGGGACGATGCTTTCAGGGGACATCTAGGTCAACTGGCATAACAAAGTTTATTAAGAAAATGTTCTGCATCCTGCTTTGCTGAGTGGCATCTGGCGTCTTAAAAGCTAGCAAGCAGCCATGTAAGATGCATCGATTGGTCCCAACCACCTGGAGTAAAGGAAAATGAAGAACATCAAAGCTACAATGAAAGTATTAGCCCAAGAGACAGAAAGGGCCACACAGACCAGAGACTTCATCAGCCTGAGAGCAAAAGTGGATGGTGCCTGGCTACCACCATTGACCGCCCTGACAGGGAACACAACAGAGAGTCCCTGATGGAGCAGGGGAAGGGCGGGATGCAGAACTCATATTCCAGTAAAAAGACTGGACTTAATGGTCTGACTGACACTGGAGGAACCCCAGAAAGCATAGCTCCCGGATTCTCTGTCAACCCAGAACTTCAACAATTCCCGAAGCCAACTCTTCAGGCAAAGATTGGACTGGACCGTGGGACATAAAATGATACTCGTGAAGAGTGTGCTCCTTAGCTCAAGTAGACACATGAGACTAAATGGGCAGCTTCTGTCCAGAGGTGAGATGAGAAGGCAGAGAGGGTTAGGACCTGGTTGAATGGACATGGGAAATCAGGAGCGGAAAGGGGGAGTGTGCTGTCACAGTATAGGGAGAACAATTAGGGTCACATAACAATGTATGTATAAATTTTTGTATGCGAGACTAACTTGAATTGTAAACTTTCACTTAAACTACAACAATAAAATAAAAAATAAAAAGAAGTTACATCATGGATAGCTAACACACACACACACATATATGTACATGTATATATATAACTCATATATCCCGTTCAAATGCATGAGTAAACAGAGGACGGGGCACCACAGATTGTCAGTGTTTAGGGCCCTCACATGCCTTAATGAGGCCCTGGCTTTCACAATAATACCAAACACTCCAACATTTTTCCAGCCTAAGCAATCTTCTCTGGTGTTCACATTATTAAGCCAATGAAGGAAGATTTATAGGTTCCTACACTAAGATATTGGGGGTAATGGATGTTAGCTACTTTAAGCAGGCTCCACACTGACATGATGTAGGGACTGATCAACCTTAACAGGTTAAAGCCATATTATGCCAATGAGTGAAAAGCAAAAAGAGTATCATGTCCTTCTTTTTCTGGGTGTCCTCTCCTAAATTTTGTAATATAAGAAAAAGCACAATAAGCATATCGCTGACCACATTTTTCATTATCAGGTACCCATTTTCTTCAGTAATTTTTTCTTAGAGAAAGCATTCCACACAACCGAAACACTGGGAGCAAGAGGAATTCATTAAGGTATTCAATTTTTCTTTATAGAGAAAAACTGTTTTGAAATAAAGAGGAGAAAATGATCTACTGACAAGTTATAAACTAGAATTTAAAAATAATCCATAGCTCTCTTTCTTAAACAGAGCAGTAAATGCAAGCCTGCTTTAATATACACTCATTTTCATAAATATTTAAAATTCAGCTGTAGTACCTGGCAAATTTCTGCATTCCCGTAGATTTTAATAATGCTTATTCCCAGAGCAGACATGCAGATATACATACACCAGGAGGCTGAACCAAAGGGTGCTGGATGCACTGTGAGGACTGTGTGAAGCTAACAGCACCCTGGGAAATTTCTTTGTTGGTCGGGGCACAACCTTTGAAGCTGGGTCTCTGCCAAGCTTCACACCCGCGTAGGAAACAAGTGTACTTACGCAGCTCGCCCACTTTCAATATCTCACACAGCATCTTGGTCAGCTCTATACTGCTGCGACCAAAGGGACATTCATGCTTGTCTTCTCGGCTGCTGTTCTCAAGCACAATCTGCAGTGTGAGAGGGAACACGTTAGAGAGGAAATTCAGCTTGTGGAAAACATCAAGAATGTCAGCTCCACTGTAATACAGAAGTCTGCTCCAGTGCCCCAAACTAAGGTTCTTGGGGTTGAACAAAATTTCACTCAAAGTACATTGGACTTTAAAAGCTTCACGTTTTTCAAATCTCCTACAACTCTCTGTGACTGTGGAAGAGGAAGTTTTGCTTGCTTGTTTCCATTTTCACAGAATTATACATGGAGAGCTTTTCAAAACAGTACAATAAAGACTTTTCACTTAAACGACAAAACCACTGCCTTGTCTACTCAGCCATATCTTCCCCTCTCTAGGGAAGCACCTCTCTTCTGTGACTTCTACTCCCACATTTCCAACAGAACTTTCCATGTTCTTATAAGATTTCACTCATGGTGTCAGTTGACCGGCCCACACAGGGGGAGCATGTGACAAAATGATACCCTGAAACTTATCATACCAAGGGGAAACTGGACCAACCATGCTGACTGTGCCTGCGAGTGTGGGCAAAGGGGCTACCTGGTCATTGGCCTGCAAAAAAAAAAGAACATGAGGCCAGCAGGTAAAGAAAAACAGAAAAGGGAGACAGCGAAAGCTCTGGGAGCATCTGAGTCGCTGCTTCCACTTATTCCTGACGCACAGCTTAAATTCCCTGTCTTTGTGGTTTGGTTGCTCAAGCCTTTCTTTGAAAATTCTTTTGTCCTTCCTAATATTCCCCTCTTTTGTTAAGCTAGTTTGAGATGCCCCTATCACCTACGACTAAGGGAGCCCTTCTACACATAAATTAAAGGCAAAAGGACAATAAAAACCTACTTTAAGGTTACTGAAATTCAAATTCGTATCTCAACAAAAGGAAGCTCTGGACAAAAGAAATGATACCTGAGGAGGCTGCTTGTCTTACACAAGAATTTGTTTATCCATCTCTGAAGCTGCATTCGATTTTTCTAGTAGGAGCTGTGATACCTCCTCAATAGCCTAGCACTTTGTAGCCCTGGTGATGCAGTGGTTAAGTGTTCGGCTGCTAACCAAAAGGCTGGCAGTTTGAATCCACCAGCCGTTCCTTGGAAACCCCATGGGGCAGTTCTACTCTGTCCTATAGGGTTGCTATGAGTCAAAATCAACTTGATGGCAATGGGTTTTGTTTTTGTTTTTTGGTTGAATATCTCCCAGTAGCTTCTACAACAATGCTGTGTAGTGACTTCCTATTCTGTTTTCCCCCGAGACACTGACTCTTCTGGGGCAGGGATGGTGTTTTATTTAATTAAATAGCAGTAGTATTGAGGACCTATTATATGCTAGGGAGATGGTTAGGCCCTGATGATAAAATGAGGACAGGGTAGACAAGGACCCTGACCTCACAGAGCATTCATTCTGACTGAGGAAGACAGAAAAATAAAAAAGATAGTTACAGTTTATGACAAGTGCTATGAAAACAATAACTTGTTAAAGTGACAGAGTGTAACAGGGAAGGCCTGAGAAAGGACAGTTTAGATGGTCTGCTGATCAAGAAAGTTTCTTAGACAATTGAACATTAAAGGCTATTTTGCGATGCATGGCTTTTGTGTGATCTTTCTCAACATGGTCTTGTAACGTCCGTTCAAGTGACTGGGTGGGACTGTGCAGATAGGGTAATCGTGGCCCACCAAAGGGATTGGTCAGTTTTGCCATCCTACTAGGCTTGAAGTGAGCCATCCCAGAGGTGGGAAAGAGAGGATCTCACCACCACCAAGAAAGAATCCCTGCACTGAGATCCTCCCAGACCCAGGAGACAGAGAGAGAGCTGTAACACTGAAGACGGCAAGGCTGCAAGAAGCAGCGGCAGAGAAACTGTAGCAGCAGAGGCAGCAGAACCAGAAGACTGGCAAGAGACTGCCTGGTGGGCTTCATGGCCCACTGAGCCAGAAAGCAGCTGAGTGCCTTCGGGCAGAAGGTTTGCTGGTGGAGTAGGCTGCCTCGGGGCACTTGGTAGACCCATGTTAGCTGACAGAGCTAGAGCTGAGTGCCTTTGGGCCGAGGCTTATTGGCAGAGTAGGGTGCCTCTGCCTTTTGGCAGAGCTAAAAGAGCTTTGTAACACTTGCCCAAGCAGGGCAGAGGCCAAGGGGCCAGAGACAGAGAGCCAGCAGGCACGGCTGAGAAGAAGCTGTTCTGATGGAAAAACTTTATCCTCAATGTTCCTGAACCTGAACTGTGAGTGTCTGTGCATTCTCTGTGGCCACTGCAATGAATTATCAAACCCAGCAGAGAAGTAGAGAGTGCTGTAGGAGGCGGCTGGTGTCAGAATTGGTAAAAACGGCTGAGAGATGAGGCATATCTGACCTCCTCCTCATAGGAATCAGCCTTGGGCTGTTGATCTTGATTTTCCCTCCCCCTTGTGAAGTTAGAGGAAGTCAGATGCCGCCCCCATACCATTTTTACAAAGGATGAGAAAGAGCTTGTTATGTCAAGGTCTGGGGGAAAAGAACATTTCAGGCAGAGGAACCAAGCTCCTACTCAGCTATCTGGTCTATAATGTGGAGGGACCTTAAGTTGTGGAGGGCAGCACTGGGCTCCAGGAGCCTGAGACAGGCCAGTGGCAGCAGAGTGAGCCAGGGGAGCTACAGGTGGACTCAAACCACTACCCACAGGGCTCTGTGGATGTCATTCTGAGGCCTTGAGGTGCTAATTAGGAGGCTTAAGCAGGCAAGGCAAGGGAAATGACCTGATTTATTTAGAAAAGATCTCGACTGTGGAGAATGGATAATAGGGGCAAGAGAGAAAGTGTGCAGTCCAGCTCGAGGGCTGAGTAGTGTTCCTGACAGAGGAGATGGCAGCTCAGGCTGAGCCCTACAAGGGATCAAAAAAGGGAGAAAGAGGTGGAAAAGGAATGAAGGAGACAAGGAGGGAAAGGCTGTTTAGGAAAGAGAAATAAAAGGAAGAAAATTCGGAAAGAGGGAAGAACAAAGGGATGAAGGAAAAATGAATGAATAAAAGTGCTATTGTAATGATGCAGACATGGGGTTCCAAACAGTGAAGTAACGTCAGGACAGCTCAATATATGGTGAGTTGTTTAAAACCAAAGGAAAAGGATTTTAATAAAAAGGTGCTCCAGTTATTTCCTGCACAAACACCATAGCAATAATACACATATAAACATACCAAAACAAACAAAAAACCCATTGCCATCAAGTCGATTCTGACTCACAGTGACGCTATAGGACAGGGTAGAACTGCCCCATACGGTTTCCATGGGTGGTAGGTTCAAACCGCCAACCTTTCTGTTAGTCGAGAGCTTTTCCACTGTGCCACCAGGGCTCCTTACATAAACATACACACACATTATTATATGCCTTGACAATACCCCAATAACAACATCAACTGTTTTCATTTGGGGAGTTCTTTCTAGTCTTACATTTTTACCTAGGTCTACTTGGAGCCTAAATAGTTTGCATGTTGTTTTTTTCTCGGAGAACATTGAATGTAAACTCCAACTAAATCCTCTCTCCTGCTGGGCAAGGTATGGCCATTGCTGGGAGGCCTTGAAAAACTTATTCCCTTTGCCTGGTTTTTTCTTGTGAATCTGCCTGAACATGAAAAGCCTCATTAGACACACGATAAATCACTCCTTTCCTTTAAAGGGAAGCCTTTCTGGTTCTGTCCCTGGGTGGAGCAAACAAACACTTGGCTACTAACCGAAAGGTTGACAACTGGACTCTGGTTCAAATCGACCCAGAGGTGCCTCAGAATAAAGGCCTGGCGAACTACTTTCTGAAAGGTCACAGCTCTGAAAAATTCTATGACACATATAGTTCAACTAAAACACACAGGTTGCCATGAATTGGAATCGACTTAATGGCAGTTGGTTTCATTTTTTTTTTTTTTTTTTGGTTTTCTGATTCTAACAGGGAATTTCAGTTCAGGAAACCAGGAGGGGAGAGCAACTAAATTCCCATTAGTCAGTGAATCTTTACTTCTCTTTAAAAAAATTGTATAAGAGACAGCCATAAACCCATTGCCGTTGAGTTGATTCTGACCCATAGTGATCCTATAGGACAGAGTAGAACTGCCCCATAAGGTTTCCAAGGAGTGGTTGGTGGATTTGAACTGCTGACCTTCTGGTTAGCAGCTGAGTTCCTTTACCACTGCGCCACCAGGGCTCCGAGACAGCCATAACAGGGGGCAAATCTGAATCTCCTGATGATGAGAAAATGAATGGAAAAATCCGAGCAAGAAGAAGGCAGAATATAAAGATAAGACAGAACTAGGTAGTTTTCATCCAGCTCCCAGAGAGCACATTTCAGTGCATTTCACATTAACATACTATTAACATTTCATGAGCACATCAATATTTAATGACCATGTGATCTGCACACACTGTAGGTAGAATTACTGCAGCCAATAAATGTTCGGGAAACATTTCCAACGCACGGTTTATTAGAAGGCACTAAATTAAGTAGTAATTTAAGTAATCAATATGTAAATCATCTTGGAGAAGCCCTTATTTTTCTTCTCTAATGCACCATCCATCTTATCATATTTACCTACCTAAAGAAAAATAAATCCTCTTTACTGATTTCTTTAGACAAGGCAACACACAAATCCTTAAAGTTACCTGTGTAAGTTTTAAGCTCAACATTCTTATAGGTGTATTTTAGAAAAGACTATGATTGTTAATAGTTAGATACTGTAGAACTGCCCCATAGGGTTTCCAAGGAGCAGCTGGTGGATTTGAACTGCCGACCTTTTGGTTAGCAGCCAAACACTTAACCACTGCACCACCAGGGCTCCTAGATATTACTACAGTGAAAGATAATTCTTAAACTGGACAATAGATTGTGTTGTTTTTTTTTGTAAATTAATACACCGATATCTCCATATTCATTTTCAATATACTAGTATTAACCATATCCACCTGAGACATATTTAAAAGTTCCATTTGGAAATATCAAGGCACATTCTTCTTCTTTTTTTCTTTTTTTTTAACTTACTCTCCAGTTTTAAG